CAGCAAGACTACAGTCATATGAACGTACAATGCAGAACCCGGAGCAAGACAATCGTCAATGACTGTACGGATACAGCACTTTGCCACGTTGGTCTTTTTCACAGCGGAGCGGCCACGAATTGCAACGGGAGCCCTTCAAAACGCCAAGCTTCAAATACTGTGAAGGCAACAGTCAAGCCATCCAGCCGCAAGCATGGGTCGCCGGACTTGCCTTTCCAATCGAACATTGCACTTGCCAGAAGATTTCTTTAATCTGAGAAACCTCCCCCAAATCCCACCGCAGCCAGCAAAAAGTCGGGCACACCGGGAGCAAAAAGTCAGGCACACCGGGAAGTTGTTGTTCTTTTGGGCGAACGCTTTTTGGATGGTTTTCACCTTCAAGGAGCCACATTCATGTTGGAATGGGGTTCCGCTTGAGTCGGGGAAAAAAACGATTCCCACTGGGCGTGGCTCATAATTTTTCCAGACCCAGGCTTACGCAGGTTTTAGTATTTTAGTCTTAGTTTCCATTTCGCAAGGTGTCACTTTGGTCAAAAGTTGTGAGCCACCGCCATTCGGCTGTGGCTGGCTCAAAAACCGGAATTCCAAAATTGGTTGCCTGATCGGTAAGTGGAAGCATGGACCAAAACCTGCGGTTTGCCCCTCCTTTTTCGTTTCATTTTGAGCCACCGAACCATTTCTGGTTGTCGTTGGGAAGCATTTGCATTTTTGCTTATTGTGGTTTAGTGGTTGAAATCCAAATCCACTTAACTGCTCAAAATTTTGGATTTTTTGCTCCCTTTCCAACGTCCACCAAGCATTCTCCGGGGCTGAGGTCCTGGGGCGCTCCGAGCCCGCGGCGCCCAGTCGCTCCTTCGCCTCGCTGGGGGGGGACTCCGTGGCGGCGCTGCGCGCCGCGGCGCGGGCGCGGAGCCGTGGGCCAGGGAGCCCAAGAGACAAGGGAGCTTCACGGGAATCCTTTTTTTTCTCTTTTTTTTCTTAAGTTTTTTTTTGGGTTTTCATTTTTCTTTTTTTCCTTTTTCTTCTTCTGTTTTTAGTTTTTGGGTATTTTTTTTATATCTTTTTTCCGCCTTGGCCCAGAATCTGCACCCAAAACTCGCAAGGTAGGTTTGTTTGGGGGAAGCGGAAATGGCTTGTTTGGGTGGGGGTTGCCGCAAAGGACTTGTGGTCCAACATTTCTGGTCCTTTTCATCAGAATGCAATTACAAGCGTCCCCTGTTCAGGGAGAGCGGTTCCGCGTGTGCTAGACTCGGGAGCTTGAGAGATTTGGGGAGATTTGGGTGAGGGAGTGCAGATTCTGGGCCAGCAATGATTTGCCCCCTTCCCCCAGCACACTGCAAGTATCCTGCAAAACATGTTTTTCCAACAGATATGGGGTTTTGCAAGGCGGCTTGAGCGTATCAGGTTGGATGTCTCTGCGCTAGACCTGCTGAGCGCTCCCAGCATCAGCGCAGTGCAGTCGAAGGCGGGACCTAAGCCATGCGCCATCAGCAGCTCCAGCGATCGCAGGTGCTGGCTGAGCACCCAGCGAAGCGGCCGAGAGCGCCTGATCCTCAGCTTTTTTGGGCAAAAAGAAAGCCGTTTGGGGACTGGCTCTTGTAGGGTTAAGTGGGAAGGAATCCCCTCCCCTCCTCACTGGTGGAAACCACCAACTGGAGGGAAGCGCTTGTTGCTGGAGCTTGAGAGTTCATGAAGGTTCATGAGACTGCTTCTCTGCGGACGCGTTTGCATGAACTCGTCTGATTTACTGGTACTTTAATCTGATAATCAAGCACCATCTCATGCTAAGCTTGCCAATGGAACGATTTGCAGGAGCAGTAGCAAGGAGCTCACCGTTGCCACCCAGCAGGTTTGCAGCTCAGAACATGCCGCACAATGAGACACTCTATGGCGCTTTTTACAGCTCGGGGTATTTGCTGGCCGTGCGCCGTGGTGTTTGGACACAAGGCCCGAAGTAAACTATCAGCTGCCATCCAAATGGCAAATCGTTTCCTATGACCCCCACGTCTAGAAATCCAGACGGGCTCCACCACGTTTCGCCACATTCAGAGACATGCGGGGCGCTGAGGAGCTTGGCGATGAGTTCACCGACCAGGTTGGCCTGCCTTGGCGTGCGACGGCCTGAGCCAACCAGACAGGTTTCTTACTCGCAGCTTTGCCTGAGACGCGACATTTGCAACTTGACAGACTATTTTTGCATTTTCCTCTAAGCATGGGTCATGGCCTGCACTTGTCATTCTGCTCTGAAGGCTGCGGAGTCGACATGGCGGCTGACCCAGTTATATCCCTCTGAGTGCGGTTTCGCCACTGGGCGCTTTTTGCGAAGTCCGTTTGCGGTGTCCCGATTTTTCCTTGCAGCTTGAGTCAGCCTCGCACGGCACAGAATGCCGCACAACATTGGATGATTGAAGTCCTTAGTCGAGTCAAAGGCGTAACTTTTCAGTGCAAACAAAATCGGACCAAGGCGGTTGCTCCAAGCACAGATCAGGTTCAACAAAATCCTGCGACTCAGCACACGGTTTTTGCAAACCAACCAAACCACAAAGAGATGCGAGGATCGAGCTTAGCACGTTTCGATTTGCATCCTCAGCGCTATGGACAATCCTCACCTCAAGGATGTGCTGGCTCCTGCCTCAGCTTCATTTCAGCCGCACCCGCTGGGATTCTACTCGCTGGAAATGAATCAAGTCGGATGGTCAAAAGCAGCACTGCCAACGACTGCTTAGATCCGGCTTAGGTGAGCTTTCCAGATGTGGTTGCGGAATCCCTTCCGTGGACAGAGGGCGCAGAGACGTGGAGCCCGAAGGAGCCTGCAGCCTGAGACGATTGGTTCAGGGCAAGCGTTTCATGTTGGTTTGAAGGAATACCGAAAAGAGAACTGCAAGTTTGGAAGTCCCTCTATTTCGACACATTGGAGTGGACAGGGGGGATTCATGGAATGCCCTCCCCCGGTTTGGGACCTACCATTTCTGGCATTGAGGCATTCTCCTTGTCAATGTCGGTCAATGAGTTGCGGAGCACCCACTTGGTTTAGAGAAGGAAACCCAAAGGACGCCATCTCTCGGTGGCCCCTCATTCAGCCAAGCCATGCACGTTGACCTTCGAAGATACGTGTGGTGGCTGAAGCATCAGATCCACCGATCAATCCATTGACCATTTTGTGTAATTCTGTGCTGGGCTCTTTCTTATGCCTTGACATCAGCAGCGAGCTCAGGAGCTCGAGCTCTTCATCGGTAGCAACGGCTTTCTGAAGCCCAAGAGAAAAGCGCAGGTGCCGTTCCCGGTTTTTGGTGCGTGAGGGTGGGCGGGTAAACGCATGGCCGGGAGACGGGGAACGGAGCAGAGGCATCTGGAGATTCAGTCTTCATCTTGGGAAAAAGCGACAGCCGATGTGAGGTTCGCACACGTTGAGGGGATTCCTGAATGCCCTAGCCGTCATACAGGGGAGTCCTTTGTTGTCTCACACAACACTAGCAATAACAGTAACACAGCAATAGCACTATATATCACTAACACACACACACATCCCTACCTAAGTGATCCAGGGAAAGGTCCCGCATTGAAAATAGTACTCAAATGGCAATCGACCCCTCAGATCATGACCAACACCTGGCTGCCGCCTTGCCAGGCTAAGACTGGGGCTGCCACCCCCTCGCCTGCGACGCCTGCCATGCCTGCGGAGCCTGCGGAGCCTGCGAAGGCGGCAGCTCCCGAGGCGTCACGAGGGTTCGCGTGGCGTGACCGGCGTTGTACTCCGCAAGCTGCGCGGCCAGGTGGATGCAGCTGCTATGGAGCGACCGGCCTCGTTCGAGACGGCAGGCTTCAGCCAGGCCTTCGGCTCATCGGCACGTGCTGAATACATCCTGCCCCAAAGCAACAAAGCGACAAAAAATAAGACGGAAAGGACGGCAACCAACCTCCCAGAACAAACAGCGATGCAGGAACGGACAACACTGCATCGCTCGTCCATTGTATCAGGAGCGCCGTGTCCTTACTATGCCCGTGCGGGTACACTGCGAGGAGTGCATCGGTTGCACACGACATGGAGAGGCAGCGAGGTGCTATCAAGCGTAGGTGTTTTAGAAGTGTCGACGTATGTTCTGCCCGTGGGTCTTTTGGCCCTCAGATCTGAAGCTTTTCGATGCGTCCTGTTTGGACTCTGCACTCTGCCTGGAGGACACAGCTCCGAACGGCCACGCCTGAAGCCCCAAGCCGTGTTTGCAGATGGGTGGTTCTGTTGTTGCTCATTTTTGCCGAACGCTCCAGATTTGCTGGGCTGTGCAGCGGAGGTCCGGATAGAGTCGCTGGTGGCCTATGCAGAACGCATCCGCAGTTTGGCCTTGAAGCAAGTCATGGCCGCTGGGATGCCAGTGTTGCGCTATGATTTCGCAGATTCTCCAAACACAGCAAGTCAACCTGCCAGAAGCATGGTGAAACATAGGGGATGCCTCACCCGCTAGGAGCAGTGATTTGCGTGCAATCATGAGCGCGCTATTTGAGCAACTGACAATGTTCTGCATCATTTTTTGGAGGAAGACATTTGGACCACCCAGGATCCAATGTCCCCGGAAGAACCAAGGGCCCACCCAATTTATCGCCAGTTTGCTGTGCAATGCTCGGGATAGTGCTATCTCAGGACGTCTCCTTGGCAGACTTGAAGGATCTGCCCTGCGAGTCGCTGAGTTGGAGTGCCAAAGACGGTTGCTCTCCAGCATCCATGTCAAAGTTTGGACTGTCCAGGAGAAGAACCTGGCGATCCTGGCAACAGAGTTTGTTATAGAGATCGTCGGCTCAGGCGTGGGGATTGGTTTGGATGGATCCAGGTTTGTTTTGGGGTCCGAACATCTATTAAGGTTGGAGTGGGGTGGGTGGGAGAAGGCGAATTTGTGTTAGATCTTTGGAGCAACTTGGACTGTGCTGGGCTGTTCATATAGTGGGGGTGGGGGGGGGGGGGCTAATAACATAGGTTGAGGTTTGCTTCAAAGTGATGTCAGTCTGAGGCTGATTGCGACACGGGAAGCTATGGAGGACACAAGCAAGACACGCAGACATTTCCCAATGGGGCTGGACTTTCATTGCCGATAAGCGGAACCTCCGGATTGATAAGCTCGTCGATGAAAGGGGACACATGTCAAATCCTTCCTTTCAGGTGGCCCCAAACAGACACACTCAACCTATCTCCAAACCTACCTTCAACTATTCCGAATACACATTACGCCCACCCTGAGCCGTCCACTGAACATGCCAGAGACAGCACGAGGCATTCGCAACCCGCGCCAGGCGTCCGGGTGTTGGACACGTTGCGGGTGGACACTGCCCCAGAGTTTCCGGCCGCGCCTCTCTTCCCATGGGATCCTCAGCTGCATGACACGTTCCCCATGAGCCCAAGGAAGCCATCAGTTTGCACCCTCCCAGTTGGTGCGCGTGCCGGTTTGTTTATTTGTTTGCTTGTTTGTTTGTTTGTGTGTGTTGGTATGTGTTGGTAAGTGCAAAGATTTGGCTTGTTTAGATGGGGCTGCACCAGGACACAGAGATGTGGAAAGAAGATGGCTCTCTATATGTGCGAGGCGCAGCAAGGAAGGTGGACGTAGTATGTATAAATGCAAATCATGCGCAGCCTCTGCGATTTGAACAGAAGCATGTTGCGCTCTGAAAGGAGCATGACAATTCATGGTCACAGTCAGGCAGCTTCTCGAAATTCAGGACTCTTCGGCCTCAACCTGTGCCAGATCTCGAGCACCGGGGAATATAGTGCCTGGGTGCAAGCTGTTCATATTTTATTCGCATGGCGGGGTCTGCAAGCATTGGACCCATGCATCTTGCGCGGCGATGACATGCCTTCATTGGCAATATACCGAAGGTGGAGTGGACGAGAAGACCTACGGAAGTTTTACAAAGGCAGGACCTTCATCTCAGTTCCCCCGAAAGCTTGCTCAGGGAATGCGACATGGAATGAACTTGGGGGTCCCCTTAGAGGAAAGCCGCAGTATGGTTTTTCTGGGGGTCAGCCTCCGTTTCTGGTTCCCATTTGCACCAAGAAAGGCTCGACGGCTCGAGTGTCGACTCGGGCGCCGGGAGGAACTCCAGAGGTGGGCGCCGGCGAGGCAAAGGTTCTCCCCCACCTCCCTGAGATTCTTCTCGGCCTACGAGCGCCTCAGAACAAAAAAGAGATGTGAGTTTCTCAAACCGGACGTCGGCACATGATGTACCTCAAAAAAAAGAAGCAATGGAATGGGTGACAGCCCGGCCATGGCCCTTTCATAAGGACTCTGCTTTCCGCCGTCAGCGTTTGATGGCCATATGGAAGGTTAATATGGAGCATTCGGTTCAAGTCCCATCAGGAAATCGGGATCGCCTTTTGTGCCCGAGAAATATGCACAGGCAGGGCATCCAATAGAAAGGCAACAGGCTTATCCTTCTGGCATGTACTGGGAGCTCAGCAATTCAGCGGGGGAATAATGCAGCTCGCAGGCAAGTTATGTTGTGCGATTTGCGGACTGCGATATGTACAACGTGCTGTTCCAGGCCAGAGTGGATTCGCTTGGCTTCGAGCTGGATGTGTTCCCAAAGGAATGAAGCAGCCGGATACCTGACAAAGCTTTAATTTCTAGCCTGCCGTCCTTGCACATCTTGGTCTGTCTGGTCCGCATGTGACATGTCGGCGAACTGTTTCTGAAGCAGTTCAGGGGATGCTTTTGGCTCTGCCCCAGACAACATTGAAGTATCCAAATGCAAGAGCAGTGCTCCAAGCCAGTGCTTGTGTCAAACCAAACCCCGATGGAAATTCAGCAATGGCCGCCCCGGCATCAGGCACGGGTACCTTCGATGATGGAGGTTTGCCACCCTCGAGGTGACGCGCGAGCCTTCTATGCGGAGCGCTTAGGAATCGGAGGCTATCCGCCGCGTCGCTGACGGACGCCAGGTCAATATTCGAATGTCAGTGCGACCTGGGGACAACCTCCAGGTGCACGTGTTCTCAAATGAGGCACCGATTTGCAGAGGGCCTGACTGTGTGGATTTTGGAGAATCGCCTGTCAGGCCACCGCACTCTTCATTTGCCTCCTGGGTGTCTAGCTTCGAACCAGATGGTATCGAAATCAACATATAAGTCATGTCTCAATACGAGTTCTTGCACTTTGGCGTACTTGCCATTCAAGGCAGTTCTTAGGGCAGCCCGATTCCACGCAAAAGGCAAGAAGCCGGTCCTGGCGGCCGTTGGCAGATACGGGGTCCGGGCCTTTCAGACGGGCGGTCCAGCTAATTGCCTGCTTTGGACACGACATCTTTGCTTGCATTTGTGCTATGGGCATATGTTTGCTACAGGTGCGGGCTTTATACGAATGTTCATCAACCCTCCAAGGACTTTGCCCACTTAGATTTGGCCCACGCTGCAGGCAGAGGCGATGCATCAAGAGGAGATCAAGTGCGCATCAATGAGGCGTCGCCCACTGCAACACGTTTCAACTTCTTGGCATGTTTCAAAGGGTCAAGGAACAATGT